GCACTGTGACTGCTGGATATGGGCACCAGTGACCCACGCAACCCTGAAAAGGAAGAAGCGTGTACAGAAAATGGATGGACGGAAATCACAACCTTTGCGTGAAGTGGCGTACGCAAGTTTCTGGGCTTGTTTTGTGTGTACGCAAGCGTTATAAAACCTGCCCCAGATCTGTGTCACTGAGATGTTATAATCCAGTCCGTGGTTTGGGATCACCAGGAGTGTCACAGGTAAACAGGAAGACAGGAACTAATGGTTGCCCCATTGTTTGCTGATTTGTCATCAGTACACCTTTCCAGCTCAGTTTCCTTCTTCACTCTTTTCAAATTCTGCATCTTGGCTTGCAGAAATTCAAAACTCTCTAGTGGAGGAGATCCAATAGTCCCAGTAGATTTGCGAAAGCTCCCAGGAGAAAGAGTGATGTTCTTCTCCTCAATCACCCAGCAGCATCTGGTTAGCTTGAGAGGGTTAGGCCTTTTGCTGGTTGTTCAAGCACATGTAGTCCAAAAAGTGCTTAGATGGTGAAAAATAGTAGAAATAATCCTACAACTCTAAACATTAGTAGGATATAAAAGCACAGAGCTTCAGTATGTGCTTGGATGTTGAGTTGTATTTGAGATATTCAGTAGATCTTCACCAGATTTAGACCAGATCAACACAACCCCTCCTACTCAGCAACCATCTTGAGGATAAATGAGCAAACAAATGGAGATGGTGGAGTATTACATTTCAGACATTTAGACAAGTCTTCGCAAATCCAAGCCCAGAACCTCTGAACAGGTGGACAGAACCAGAGTGCATGAATGTAATTGTCAGGTATATTACCTGTGAACTGTGAACAGGTGTTAGATGTAAACCCCATCTTGAACATTCGCTGACCTGTATATTGTACTCTATGGAGGACTTTATATTGTATTAATTATAAATTGGGGTTTCTAGTCATTTTAAACATTTTTAAACATATTTGAGACCAGGTGTTCTGGTTTATTGATAAGTCTGTCTCCCATTTCACAATAGGAAGTGACACTGAGTCATCTATTCTAAACATTTATTGTAAATTTTAGACAGCAAGTGTTATGGGTAGAGATTTTCCATCTAATAAGATCATCTTCAATTTTCTTTAAAAGCAGGATGTGGTTTAATTTTATTAAGTCTTCCAGTCTAGGAGAAATATTAATTTGCTGTATATTTAAAAGGTAAAGGTGCTTATATTGGTAATCATTGTACGTTCCCATACAATGATGAAATTTGTGCTCTGCATTTGACCCATCCACACCCAGGTGGAGCAGCGGGCAGCCATGTGGATGCCCCGGGGAGCGGTTGGGGGTTTTGCTCATGGACAGCACAGCATGGAGGCATGGCGGGGAGTCGAACTGTGACTTGTGGGTCCCAAAGTCGGCTGCTCTACCACAGCCGCCCCATACTTCTTTTCAAATATTTGTTAGAATTGTGCCGTTTTGTTTGTTTGTTTATATACAGGGATTTCTAGTTTTAGTTAAAATTTGGGTTTTGTCTGAGTTCTCTGTTTCTGTTCTGTCACACCCACTTGCTCCTGAGCTCAGTTTCTCTGCTCAGGTGTGGGGCATTGTGGGTCAGTCAGTTTGTCTTTATATTCTCTGTTGGTTGGTTCCTTGCTTTGGCAGTGTACACTTTTGTGTCCGTTGTGGTTCAGTTTTGCTTGTCTCTGATCCCCACACATTCTGTTTAGTAGTTTGCTGCCTTGAAAGCCTTAAATTGATGTTGGTTTTGAGTAAATTTTGGGAAAATTGGGCRCGAACTTAGAAAAGCAAACCAACCTGTTCCGCTATCTTTCCAGAAGTCATTTGTTTTTCTTACCGATGATGGAAATTCGTCCTGACCACATCCAAAATGATGGAAATCTGCCCTGGCCATGTACAAAATGAYTGAAATTCATAGCGGTGACGGAGAACTTTAAGCCCTGCAAAATTATCTGTACTTTCTATGCCTTACATTTTTTATAAAGGTAAGAAGTAGAAAGTTGTTACTCCTATTTCATTCCGGCTTGTTATTGTTAAGAGATACAATCCTGATAAATTGTGCCTTCAGGAAAGAATAAAGTTTATTGTAGTTAAATGAGAAGTATAAATATATACCATTCTGATACAGTATTATGCCCCTTTTCCACTAGTGCCACTTAGTGTAGTGTCGGTATGGTTCCAAGCCATTTCCATTAGGCCAGATCCATGGAACCGGCACTTTTTTTAGTACCTACTTCATTGTGGTTCCAACTGGCCCCAGCTGACACCAAAATGCGACGTCAGAACACTGTTCATCACTGATTGGCTAAATTTTTGCAAATGTTTAAAATTTCAAAAGTTATTCATCAAATGTGTTTCCATCTTCCAGGTCATCTGACAATAAATGTCATTTTAGAAAATCTAACCRCTCATTTTTACTCAGTACTTTTACTTTTAATACTTATGTACACTATATTGCCAGAAGTATTATCTGACTTGTCTTGACTGACATATGAGCTTCAGGTACATCCCATTCCTAATCCATAGGGGTCAGTATGACGTTGGTCCACCCTTTGCAGCTAGAACAGCTTCAACTCTTCTGAAGGCTGTCCACAAGGTTTAGGAGTGTGATTATGGGGATTTTTGATCATTCTCCCAGAAGAGCATTTGTGAGGTCACATACTGATGTTGGACAGAAGGTCTGTCTCTCAGTCTACACCCTAATTTATCCCAAAGGTGTTTTATGGCCGGGGTGTCAAACTCATTTTCACCGAGGGCCACATGAGCGTTATGGTGGCCCTCGAAGGGCCAGGTGTAATAAACGTTGACGTTTCATGTTTAACTTTGACTAAACGGTGTTTTAAAATGTCCTCTTTTAAACACTGATAAGAACAAAGTGTACAGCTGACTAAATCTGAAATAAATACAGAAATATTAATAAAAGTAAAACTATTAAAGTTTTACTCACTGATTAGTTTCTAGTGAGTAACAAGCATGCATTCTGGCAGATTTAGTTTATGGTTGATGCTGACTTTAAAGCAGCTTATTTTCAGAAATTAATATTGTGCTAATCAACTAAATTGCTCCGTTACAGCCAACAGCTCAGGGACAGGACAATTGTTGTTATCTTTCACCTTTTAAATTTATTTTGTTGATCRAGTCACATCTGATTTAGAGAGGAAGTGTCTTGCAACATTAACACTATCTTCTAAACGACAAGAAAACAGATCAGTACAACCAATCTGTGGACCATCTGAAAACACTGCATGTTTGTTTCTATTCACACATGAATCCAAGATTGAAAATTCATTTTAAGCAGAATTTAAATCAGTGAAAATAGTTCTCATGATTTTAAGTCTAAAAAATTAAATAATTTAATGTATTTTACAGCTTTACAAAGAAATTGAACAGATTAAAAATGTTACTTTTCAAACCAACAGAACAAAATCAGCTAAAACATCTCATCTCTCAAAGAATGCATAATTTTCCATACAAATACTTGATGCAGTTTAAAATAGACATAATTGAAAACACAAAAACGTAAAACTTTGGTACTGAGGTTTCGTGTAACGCCGGCTCATATCTGTAGATCATCTGTCCAGTGGCTCTGAGGAGATAAAAAGAAAAGTGAGTAAAACTGAAGCATAGAAGAGTTRCCTGTTCATGACTGGCTTCTCAGCTCACCTGAGGACCCGGTGCTGTGATCTCCTCGAGKTCTTCGAAGCAGCCATGTTTGTGACGAATGAGATCCCCCCACAGCACCGGGCGGTGGCAGGATGGACATGCCCCCTCCACTGGCAGGAGGTGGTCTGGCTCCAGCCTGAGGAAACACCTGGAGAGACAGGTAAGGTGGCTGTCCATCCCACATGAAGAGTGAAAGCAGCTCAGCATCTCTGACTCCTGAGGAGGAGAGAAAATGTACAGGTTAAAGCAGTCAGAATAAATCTGGTGCCAAGTGTTCTCGTTAAAAGTCCAGATTACTCTGAAGACACGTGTAATGCTGCATTTTGTAATAATGCAGCATTTTGTAATAATGTAATAACATCAGGCTTCAAAATGTAATAAACCAAAACTAAAAACTAGGGCTGTCAAATGATTAAAATTTTTAATCTTTTAATTCCAAGGTAGCTGTGAATTAATCACGATTAATTATGATTAATCTTAAACTTAATATAAAACTTTAAATTTTTAAATATTATTTATTTATTAAATAAATAAAATAGACTTTTCAAGATGGCGGCGTAGCGAGTGGTCGACTTCGTCTAGCTGCGCACCACATGTTCTGTATTTGAGCAGAATACCATTCTCTTACTAAGATTTCTCAACTAAATGAGGTAATACGAACGCTGATAAACGCTACTTCGACTCACGCCAGCATAATGCCGCCCAAAATTCTAAAGAAAATTAACAAGACCGGCGAAGCGGAGTCTCAACTGACTAGCACAAGTAAAATGGCTAACACGGAGCTAACTGCTGAGCTATCAGCGGCTAGTGGGGCTTTAACACTCGACCCTGCTCTTCGCCAAGTTATTGAGGAAATCACTGGGAACATCTCATCAGTAATCTCCCAGAAAGTAGACATTCTGACTGAAATGCTTAAGAGCCAGGCCACGGAGATAAAAGTGTTGGTCGGACGCATTACAGATGCGGAGGACAGGATTGCAGCTCAAGAGGACGGCCTGGACCAGGCCACGGCCCGCATTAAAAAGTTGGAGAAAGAAACCCTCACGATGGCTCAACGAATTGATGACATCGAAAATAGAGGCAGGAGAAAGAACATTCGGGTGCTCGGTCTAAAAGAGGGCGTAGAGGCTGGTCCTGGAGCCCTAAAATTTCTGGAAAAATGGTTGCCCGAATTTCTAGGAGTCGAGACCAAGAGCGGCCGGATCAAGCTTGAGAGGGCGCACCGCACACTGGCTCCACAGCCCGGGCCGACACAGAGACCAAGACCGATGCTGATCAGATTTCACAACTACCGGGATCAACAGCAGGTTCTCRAAGCAGCGCGGCGTGCGGGGAGCGGAGATCAGCCTCTGATGTACCAGAACTACAAGATCATGTTCTTCCAGGATTTCTCGGCAGACACCATGCGCAGGCGAAAGGGATTCGACGCGGTAAAGAGGCGGCTGAGGGAGGCAGGCATCCAGTATTCCCTTCTCTACCCGGCTAGGCTGAGGATTATGCGCGATGGAGAGGCAAAGATTTTTAATTCGCCGGATGGAGCAATGGAGTTTATGGACAGTTTAGGATGAAACAACACCCGCGAAAGCCCTGGACCGGACGGTACCAGAGGTCTGCTCTGTAAGCATGTTCTCATTTTTGTTCTCATCGTCACTCATGTAAATAAGTGATGTGTGTAATTATGATTATGACTCTTTTCAATTTGATCTGCTCGACTGCATTTTCTTGTGATTTTTAGTGGTGCGCAGCAGCGAGGAATGTGTGATGGACTTTCTCTTTTGGGTTCGTCTATCTGTGTGTGTCTTCATCAAGGAAATGAGA